CAAAGACCTTTTAATTAAAGTCACGGTATACTGTACAGGGTATCCCAAAAAAAAAAAAACCACTGAAACAACGCACTGCTAGAATCCGAACGCCTCAGCACTAAACTAAACGCAAAGATGCGTAAATAGAGAAAATCTTTGAGATTCTACCCGCAATATATAAATTGATTTTGTGCATTACGGGCATTTAATTTTGTGCCGATATTCGTTATACAGAGCTAGGAAGGAGCGAGCAGTGTTATTTTCAAATGTATAAACATTTCATGCGATCAGACGTGAATATTGAGAAAATCTTTGAGATTCTACGCAATATACAAATTGATGTTAGGCATGTTATTATTTAAGCGGCATATTCATCATACAGCGACTGTATAAGATGCATGCTACAGTGCACCACTGAATCTGGCTATACTCAGACACTCAGTATACACTGAAACTACAGAAGCCTGTAATACTCTGTGACTGTGCTGAATTGCTGAAACCACACGTACAGCACGTACGTGGCTCGCGTGCGTGTTTGGCTCTCTAAATATAAAAATGATTATAGGGTTCAGAGGATATGGTGGAAAAGACGGAGTGCGGAGTATGGAGTGCGGAATACGGAGTCTTTCAAAACAATTTATTTTCCTAGAATCTTTTTTAATGAGACTCCGCGTTTTCCACTTTCTGCCCCCATACACTTGCAGTGTCTTTCTCAATTTGAAACTTTGCACTATCCTTGGATACTTATAGTTACGTTTTTGTACAAAATTGTAAAAATGAATAAAAAGACTATATATTACTTTTAATTTCAAAATCATCAATATCCAAAGTATGTGTTTGTTAGGTATGTTATTATGTGTAATATAATCTGGAATTTAATAATAATTATCACTAAATATCTTGAACATCCTTCTAAACTTTGTTATATAAAGCACATATACAAAGCATATATATCGATAACAGACCACAAAACGGAAAGTGGTAAACAATTTGAACTTTGTGACCGTGTGTCATGAAACTGACATGTCAACTCTAGCTATTTTCTGCCTAGTCGCGTAATTTTGAAAACGGGTGTCTCCGGCGTAAGCTGTTATGTCATAAAATTAGTGAGCATAAATTATTTATTTCGCATATATTAACAATATACATAAAAATGTCACTCGACAGTGATTGGTTAATTTCAATGCAATTAATCTCAGACAGCAATGCAAAATTCTGTAACAACGGTGTAAAAATCCTATCATACACAGTTATACCTATAGCCTACTAAGTGACCATGAAATTCTTTTATGTATATACTATTATTAATTTGGAAAAACAAGCAAAAATCTCGTGCAATATTACACTAAACCAATGGAGTATACAGCTATAATTCCAAAAAGGTTGTCCTTTGAAAAACCTTAAACTCTAAACCTTAAAATCTAAGCGTGCAAAGCATAATGGGAGCATCATTTAATCAGTTTAGAAAGCATATATGGTGCCCATTTCTTAGAGACATGGCATCTCCTTACGAGAACAATTTATTCACAAATAGCTGCAATATTCAACTGCTAAGCTTGAAACTTGTGCTCCCATTAAGTTTTACGCGCTTATAGAGTTTAAGGTTTTTTAAAGGACAACCTTTTTTGAATTGACTGTATATTTGAGGTTAACCAAAACTCCAAAAACTATTATGAGGAAGTTGATTTGCACCAAAAACATCCAAAATAAAATGAAGGAACATTGATCATGGCCATTGACCATTTTTATATATTTTGGGCCTTTATATATATTTTCGTGTTTCTGTGTAACTGGACAAAACTGGTACTAATGAGTAGTGACAATACAATATTAAAATTGCTTCCGTTGTATATAGGGGTACTGCTTTCGGGCATTGCTGAACCTATATATCATACAATGTGAAATTAAATTTAGGAATAACATCTAGAATATAGTGCTTCACTCTCACCAATTCAGGTTATTTTTAGTACGCAGCTTTGCTTTTTTATCATCTCAGTCGAGATCTCAGTAGGAATACATATATAGCTACACTAAATTGACTAAATGCTTTAACCATGCAGTGGTGAAGCTAGCCATAGCAACAGGTCATGTTATGCAAATTTTTAATAATTTGCAGTATTTAAACCTTTAGAAATGTATTGTCTTTAATCTATTAATTTAGATGGAGATTTATTAGCATAGCATGACCAGTAGCGATCGCCACCTTAATCAAACACCTGCTACCTTCTGTTCGCAGTCTAAACACCTGCACTATTGCAGACCTCGTATTAGCAACAAGACAAATTTTAATAAAAAACTGGCCGGTCCTATGTAGTACGATTTACAAGTCATAACACAAGTGTTATTATAAACATGTAGAGGCCCTGAAGGCTGAACATTTATCATGTCGAAATTTCATGCATGAATGCAGTGAAAACCTGTCGCGACAGGTTTCAGCCTCTGACACCTGGCATTTACATAAATATGCCTAAAACAAACTCTGACCACCTTCAAATAAATTATTTTATTAAGGAAACTTTTCGTGTATAATATGATAAATCGTGTGAATTTAGCTAATACAGTTTCCAGAGGGAGATATTGGGACATAAAATATATTCCTTGATTCTGATCACTACATCTAATTTATATGTCAAAAATTACGAAATATACATTAAACATTTCTGTCATCCCCATGCAACGTAGGCTACGTATTCCCACAAATAATGAATGAACCCTTGAACTGATGCCAACTACCTCTAAAATGTAATATATGAAATCTCTTTCGAAATTGTTCTGTTTGTTGTTGGCAGTTTAAAATGACACTAAAAACCCTATATAAAATATAAAAATCTTTCAAGTCTTGAATTATTTTTGGTGGGCGGTACATTTATATTGTATAACGAAATATAAAAATATTCACGCGGCTCTTAAGGTTGGCTGGCAATGCCAGCGCTGCAACACATTTGGCGCTGCAAAACATCGCAGCGACAAATCATTTCTTCGTGTGAACAGAAGAATTTTAGTGAAATTTTGTCGCCACAACATGTCGCACATGATTCGAACTGGTTTGATTTTGTGCGACCTGTCGCGGCGACAAAATTAGATTGCGATTGTATTTGTATAAGCGATTTGTTACGAGAAGTAGTTCACACCAGGCGATTTGTCGTTGCAACTTATCGCCGCAATGAGCTCATGTGACTTGTCGCCTAACTGTACAACGAAGCGATTTGTTGCAGCGACCTGTCGCAGCGATTTATCGCCTAGTGTGTACCGACCTTTAAAATACAGTCGGTCGGTGATGAGAATCATTGAAGGAATTTGTGTCATGTGGCCTATTAAAGACAAGGACATCGTTATCGTTGATGGAAATGTTCTACTGAGTCAAATACTGAGCCAATTTAAAGCCTGCTTCTGTGACGCCATATTGTCATGATGTTTGACGAATTAGTAGTGACTGCAGTGACTGCCACTTCTCGCAGACTTGAAATGTAGTCGTTGTCAAACGATTTAAAAATCCAAGCTTGCTATCGTAAGAATGGCAAGAACGACGTCTAAAACTCCTATAGAAGTTTAATGTTCTAACTATGAATTTCATTATATTAAAGGTCTCTGCTGAACAACTTCCGCGGCAGGCGGCGCCTTTAATGAATTCAATAAAAGCTATTCCTAGTGAAAAAAAAGTTATTAAATACCTTATTTTACACTAAGTCTTCAGTCTTTACTGCATGATATTGGAAAAGAATACCGAGCTTGTTGAATGTTCAGTTTACGCCAAGAACCTCTGAAGTCCCGAATGCATCTGTTCGACTGTATTTTGACAGAGGCGATGTATTCTCTGCAGGGCGCCCTTTTAAGACAATAACTTTCGATTTTAATTCCCACAACTAGCTAGAATACCAGGAAATCACGTGTCTTAAAGTTTTAATTATTTATGAATGTTTAACCTGTCTGAATGTTTTATTTTATTTTTCACCTGCGGTTTTTCACCGTACCGGCTCGTCATATCCTATCCCCTCACTCCAAAAGAGGAGAGGGTCAGTTCTTTTCAGGCAAAATCTTTCCGCTTATAACGCTGTAGGAAGTATAGGAACTGTCTGTGGTCCATTGAAAAATATTATTGAGCTCTAACCCCTACCAAATGAGCCAACATGTTGTCTAACATCATCATCTAACACTGCAGAGATGGCAAATCAGCTCTTCTAGGGGAAAATCGAGATTTTGTTGGCATCTCACTCGATTCAATAATAGTTGAAGGGTCTTGTAGATGGAAATTATCGAGTGGAAATTTGTATACATTTTATTAGACCTAACCAAGAACAGCTGCGAAAAATGCAACTTTAGGTCCCTGGCAGGAATCGAACCGGCGGGCCTGCGATTCCGGTGCAGCGCCCTAACCAACTGAGTTACAGGGACCATCATGCAGTTGCCGAGCTTTAACCACAAGTTATGTATATATAGGGTACTGCCATGTTTGGGTTATGGGTAAATATCGAGATTTTGTTTTCATCTCCTTCACTCAGTAAGGGAAAGCCGATTTGAGGCACGCTTCCGCGGAAAAGTTCTTAAATTTGAGTACTCTTGAGATCACTTTTCTTGCATTTTGAAGTCATTTATAATGACACATTTTTTTGATGTTCGGATACAAATATTTAATACAACTATGAACTATTTTGAACACAATATAATATGTTTCATTCGTTTGAACGCTATATTGGATAATGTTGGCTGATATGATGTTGGGAAATATTGGATCGGGCTTGACATAGTTTAAAATTCTTATCAAACATTGTGCAACATTTGATCGTCACACGGGACTGGTGACCAGTAACATAACGATAATCGTAAAAAAAACTACATTGGTACCAACGTTCGATATTTTATAACGACAATCGGCAGATGCCGATTTATCGGCTGATCATTTGGTATGATTGGCCTTAAAATACTGTAATCAGTCTCAATAATGCTCAAAACGCTGTTATGGCGAATATATTTAGTGTCCGATCATGGCTGACCAAAACTTGGGTTGGGCTGACATATTGAGAATTACATTGAACTCTGGTTGAACCTGCTGTTGTTGGTTGGAGATTTACTTAGAGACTAGGTATAACTATTTTCCTAACCATGCATAAAAGATCGTTTGAATGATCTTTACGGCATTTTGAATGAACTTTACGGCGAACTTTGCGATTCGGTTCCAACCACGGACCTATAAAGTTGTATTTTTCGCAGTTGTTCCTTGCCTGGCCAGGTCTTATAAATTTGATATAAATTTCCACTCGATAATTTCTATCTGTACAATACCCTTCCATTATTATTCAATCAAGTGAGATGCCAGCAAAATCTTGAATGAACTTTACACTGTCACTGGAATCATATAAGCTAAGCTGATTCCACTTTGAAATTCATTTTGGATGTTTATCAAAACCGTAATAAGAGCTTCAATGAACGAATGATCCTGATGACCGGGCCAGCCCGGCTCCTTATGAACATTTGGTAACTGTGGGTGACTGCCATATGCTTGCATGCAGAGTTGTGGTTTGTTTTCTTCTGTGTTGGGTTCCTCCCGCGGAGTCCTTTTGTTTTAATTAATCTTATATGTTGTAGAGCACACGATATCATGTCGCCATGTCGGTCTTTGACTTACGTATAAATGCACTGATTTATTAATTTTTTTATTAATTACTTTTTATGTACTGTATATGTATAGGAAGCAGAGTATCAGCCATTGATGATTCGGAAAACAAAAGAGCACCTAGACCTTGGTCTGAAGATCAGTATTATGACAATCCATATCCATGCGTCTTTTATCATGCAAGATCAAGTTATGATGTTCATCATACCTTCACATCTTAAATTTATTGCATTGGATATAAATTGGCCTTCAGTTTGTGGATACAGATGGTAGGATAGAAATTTGGAAAAAAAACAGGACTGCATTAAATTGATTGTTCTAAACTAATCCTGAAAATGGCCATGCATTTTAAACCAAAATGTGTTCGATCTATATGCTATGATAAAACAGCATCGGTAGAATAGTGTCTCAGTGCAAGACTGCAAACTGGAACCCATTTTCCGGTTTGTGATCCCTGTCATGTTGAGGCCTAGGGCAAGAAAAATAAAGAAAATCCTTAAAGTGCATATGATAATAAAATTTCTTATTTTCTGGAATGAAAGAACTCTTTAAGCTGTAGTGTAACTTATTTTTCAGTTTCTTGTTTTTATGGTTTGTTCAAGAGATATTTCAATTTGTTTGATATGTAAATGACGTGAATATGTCCGCTAATTTATGACGTCATGTTGGTTGCAAGTTCCTCAAAATGGTTGAATATCACTGCCATCATCCAAGATAATAATTTCAAACTTCACTCACTGGTAAATGTGATGAAACACTGGAGAAAAACGTGAACTGATATCTACAGCTTTTAGAGTTAATAGATTTATAACCATTGTAAGTTGAGCTTGCAACCAACGTGACATCATAAATTAGCGGACATATTCACACTTATTTACATATCAAACAAATTGAAATATCTCCGGAACAAACCATAAAAACAAGAAACTGAGCTTAGGCCTGTTTCAAACGTCGCGCTTCTCATGTGCCGAACGCATTAGAAACAATAATTATCTATTGGGCCTTAAAGAGTTTTTTCATTTAAGAAAATAAGAAATTTCATGTCATATACACTTTAAAGTGTTTCCAGCGCAGACATACATTATTGGCAATATTGATAAATTATATGTAATTTCGAGTTAAATTGTCGCATATATAAACAATAAGCGATAATGTCAATGACCATACTGTAGTCCAAATCTGCCGCTTTTTGTCAAAACACAGAACTTTAATAAAAACTATATTGAAAAGTATATATAACATTAAACTGCTTACATTCGTAACAACTTAATTTTCTATAACTATATTTACTGTATTACCAATTAGACATTACATGCAATCAACAAGTAATATTATTAATATATCTAAGGCAACTTTGTCGTATATGTATATAGTTGCGGAATAAATGGTAATTCATGATGCTCAACTGAACCTATTAAAAGCTAAACGGCTATTACTTCTTTTCAAGTCCAGGGTATTGGATTGTATTTTACTAAAAGGCGTAGCGTAGTCAGCTACCAACACTCATTATACAAGTAGTCCAAGTTTGAGTTCAGATATACTTGGCAATGTTTATGGTGACTGGTTGAAATTTTAACCAATAAACAAAAGATGACTAAATTTATAGTTTAGTGCTGATGAAGATCCAGGCTTACATATCGAAAGCTTTGCAAAACAAGTAAAGTTAAAATGATATTTTTGACAAATCAGATAAATATACATTTATCATCATGCAAGTGTTCATAGAACTTCAAAGTCGTACAACAAAAGATTCCAATACATTGCCTTGGAACTTCATAAACAAGATGGAAATGTAACAGTTTTGTAAAGCCTTATTGGATCTGAACCCAGTCCTGAACTCCTCATTTCTACTTCAGCTATTCCGCACATCGTTTGAATGCTTAAAATCATGTCACTAATATTAAAATCCTCGCATATATCAATTAACGCGAGTTTATAGAAACTGTTAAGAGGATATTTTCTTGCTTTGTCGTGTACAGTATTTGTGCATCGTTGAAAACCTAAAATCTTTATGCCGTTCCTCTCAAAATCGCTTTTCAGCTTTATTTTTTTAGTTTATAGTGTTACTGCTACCTTTTTAAATGTATTTGCTGGTTGGGAAGCATGAAATAATAGTAAAAATTGTCAATAAAATTACCATTTTCAGTGATATTTTAAAAGTGGCGCCATATAGCAATATATAAGCCGAATGAGTTAATTTCAGACATCATTTTGTCGTTGGCGTACATGTATACAATCTAAAATCTCTTCATTTTAGCGTCATTTGCAGATAAAGCACTATAAAACATACTTTTACGTTTCTTTGCCGATTAAAAAACGTATCAAAACTTTAAAAGTTTGAATGTAATAACCAAGTGGTATATATTATGCTACTCCTTAGTTTTGAACAAATGTTACGTAACATACAAAAAAAATCCCCTTAATTAATCAATTTCACTATTTCAGTGTAGCAACTAAAAGATTGATTCGTTATGAACGGGAGAAGTTTTTAAGTCGGCGTCGACCAGATCGTTTGACTGTTTGTGGTTGACATGAGGAACCTCTTGCACCTTGTCTGCTGGTATTGCTTTTTCTATCCTGGGAACGGAATTGGACATTTAATAAAAAAAGTTTGATCTCAATTTTTTAATAATCTATCAAAATTTTACATTGTACAATATATTATAATCATATATTATATCAGGATCGAGTATACTTCCTGGACGAACTATTGCAACTTAATTGACAATTTGTAAAAATAAATTAATACGATTATCAAGTGACGAAGTGTCTTTACATTGAATCCCAAACACGGATCCTATTTACCCAGGACTGAATTTTATCACGCAATCGCCATAGTTCGAGATAAAAACTGTGGATAAGACGGAAATATTTTGCCGTTGTTATGATTATATAGCCTGTAGCCAATTTTGAGACATTCCCTCTTTCAAAATTATTGTAGAATTTTACATATTGAATTAAAGATTGTCAAATAAATATCTATCGCATTACGGTGAGTCCGTAGCAGCCATGCATTGATGAAAATCAATGTGAAATGCCGTAGAACTGGCGAAAATTGGAGTGGAGAGCCGCTGCGTTCTACGGCAATTTTTGAGGTCATTAATTTACCGTGGAGTTTTAGCGAAATTTCTTACAGATCCCAAATGGTTACTGTACACAGTTTAAATTCAAACATTAATCAAATCCATACTCGGCAACTTCATATGATCTTGGCTACTCCGACAAAACCGCAACGGCAAGATCTAGTGCATTCCGAAAAGGTTTCAGCGACCTATATGTATTAACTAAGACGTTCGTGCGATGACGTAGTGTTACTTCTCAGCCATGCATCATCAGGGGAATATGATGACATACCTTGTGTTAAAAACTCCTACTTATATCTGGCAATGGATTAAATTCAATAACATAAAAAATCAGAGCCTTACCTTCTCCAATTCCTCAAGATACTTCACTATAGAGTGGATGAATTTGAGAGTGATGTCTTGCGGAATCTCATTCAAGTTTGGTGGTGGAAGTGGGAACCACAGTGAAGGTTCCTTCAAACATGACTCAAATGTTTTGTCCTTGTCAGGCCAGTATCTGTCAGTTTCGGTTGACAGATAGCGGAACACGAAACGACGTAGAGCTTTCAAGAAGTTGTGTGGTTTCAACTGATCAATTTCTTTGTCCAGCATAGCGCTAACGGATTTTTCCATGGTAACTGGCAAATCATCTCGAAATCTATCAGCAAGTCCTTCGATAGCGCCGTCAGCCAGGATATCTTCAAGAGCTTCGTAAAGTGCAGCGACGTGTTCAATCTTGATCGAACTTCTAGGTTGAGGTAACAGGTTTACAGGGAAGGGACTCGGTAACATCGGCGACCATTTTTCAGCGAGCTCTTCCAAAGTCATATTCACGTTGAAATTCTTTAACTTTCGTTTCAGCAGGTACATTAATACTTCGATATGTTGGAGAAGATCTTGGGCTTCTTTGATCCTCCGTTCTTTCAGGTTAGACAAACCTTTACGTACCTCCTCAGGCAAGCTTGGATTTTGTCTCACTATCGATCGAATCTCTGTCAGTAAAGGACCACAGGAGTGGAACAATTCTTTCGCGAATATAAACTTGTTCAGCGTTCCCGTAAGGTAACATTTTCCGAATGCGATTTCTTTTGCAAGCTCAATTTCTATTCGCTCAAAATCGTACGTAATTTGTTGGCCTTTACCATACTCGGGATTTTTTTGTGCATGTTGGAACAAATCATCTGACCATTTAAAACTGATTATTTTTTTTTCTTTAACATCTTGAATGGAGATGGACACGACACCACTACAGTTTTCTTTTCCAAGGAAGCTTAGAACAGGATGCACGTGTGAAGAAAGAGAAATTATTGAATCTAAAATTGAATTCTGGTGAGAAACGAGGATTTCAATAGCCGTTTGAAGGTAGATGCCACAATCACTTTCCGTTAAACAATAAGCTACATAATCCGTCTCCCTCAGTCGCGGCATCTCCTCTTCTTTATCAATCAGGACTTCGTTAACTAGAAGACGCATTTTGTTCCATGCTTCTTTGAAGTTGTTGAACAATACTTTCAAGCTTTCTGTTTCCCGTGGACTTCGGTTTAATTCAAGAAGGTGACCACTGATGAAATCATTGATGGACTTAGATTGCGCATCTTTTCTACTAATACGGTGGGTTAATGCTGATGATACTAGACGAGACCATTTCAATAAGTGGTGGAGATTACCAATGATCGAGAGTTGGTCACATTTTGCAAAGAACAACGTCAGAAAACTGTGCTTTACTTGGACATCTTTGGAATAGTACAGGAATGCTGAACGGAAATCTTCAAAACGCGGTTGCTTTGTCACACGGAATAATCTTTTTAATTGTTGGTTCTGCTCTTCTGGGTCTTCTGGGTAATCGTCGAGTTCCATGATGCGGCATTCAAGTGTAACGTCTTGATTATCCTCCGTCTGCTTTCGTTGTATTATCTCCTTGGTTTCCTCCAATGTTTCGCGCGCGTTCAAAAACATTGTTTTTGTGAGCTGCGAAAACACGGCTTCCCATTCTCGACGCATCTTCGGCGTTGAGCAGTTGTTTGTTCCTAGTAGGTTGTTACTTCTGATAATATCTGAACTTTTCTCAACTACAAGATGCAAGGTTCTGATTGCAACATTTTTCTTGCAACTAAGGATTTTCATTAGGCATGACAGGTCACTTTCCATAGTTTTAAAACAGAAATCTGCTGGACTTGTGGAATCGGTATCAAGATCATAACCACACAACAGATTTAAAGCAGTCGACAAGTTTTCCTCTGATGAAGTTCCAAGAGCAATTCCAGCGTAGTAGGATGAATACACGATGACATGTAAAGCACGGTACACAGCTGGATTCATGTATTTTGTACAGCGATACCATTTGGGACTTTTATGACCATTGGAGGACACTGACAAAGTGGCAAACGTTTTGGGAGATGTGCTGCTGCTTGCTTCGTCATTCAGGACTTCGTAACAATGCGGACATACTTTTTCATTGACATTGGTTTTAAAAGCCAACCTTACACCACATGCACAGGTGAAACAAACGGATTCTTTGACAGATGAGTGATCTTCAAATACGGAACGCACATCTTCTCTGCAATGGGCGAGAACACAAGGCCGTTCAAATTTAACAGGATTGATAAGGTAGCGATACATTGGCAAGTCTTCACTTAATGCACCAGTGGCAACGACGCAGGAAATGTGAAGAACTAACAGCGCCATTTCTACATCTTTCACTGACGACGCGGGTGACAGTTGGAGTTGCGAGCATTCGAAATCGCGACGGCCTATAATTCTCAACAACAGTTCTTGAAACAACATAGGGAACGAAGCAGCCGCAGCAAACCAGTCAACTAATTGTTCCTCTTTATCGGTGAGTTTTCGCACAGCACGTTTCAAGTACATCATGTTTATGAGGATTCCGAGAAGAGCAAAAGCATGACCGGGCGAATTGCTGCATTTTGTCAAAAATCCGTGCATAGATGAGTCATCGTTTTCTTTCAATTTCCAATAGGCCGCCTTTGCTTCATCATACTCGGGATACTTGAATACAGATGTAAACTCCGCCTTGTCTTGCTTTTTCTCGTTAAGGCATAGTTCCTCTATCGATGGAAGAACGTTATTTTCGCCAAACCACTTTTGTAGATCAAATAGACTTGCATCTTCGTGGAGTTGTTTCATGAAAAACACTTGTAATGTTGAGTTTGCACCCTTTAGTAGCGAGTTTAATTCTGGTATGACATGAATGTAGTATGGATTATCTTCCTTCAGAACATTGGGATTTCCAGCAATAAATTGTGCGAGCATTGAAAAGAATCCTCGAAGAAATGCGACAGCTGAAAGTACGCTTAGACCACAACCATATTCGCTGTTTTGTGATAATAATGCCATGGCAGATCTAACAAGCACGAGAACATTGCAGTCGGAGCTGCTAATGTCATTAATTTTAAAATGATCCTCGAAATGTAACAGACATTGAATTAGATCACAAATCATCACAGCAGGATACGAGTCATGATGTATTGAACCATTAAAGAAACTATCTTTAAATACGTCGTCAATAGTTTGAAGACAAGGACAATTCTGGATAACACTTGGATTGGTGATTAAATCCATAAATATCCCAGGAGATTGCTTTTCCTCTACCATGAGTAGTCGTAACAAAACAGGGCTCATCATCATGACCAACTCGGGTCTCTCCAAAGAGAGAACTTGCTCGACTATCCGACGAGCACCACAAGTATCAACATTTGTATCAATACAACGACCATAGAACAGAGTTGAGAATTTCTGTAAAGCTTCGTGTTTATCCGTGTGATTCTTCATTTCTTCTTTCAATGGTTTAATTAGCTTGTTGGTTATAGTTTCAAATGACTCCTCGTGATCGAGGTATTCTGGCCTAAGAGTTATACCAATTTCGTGTAAAGCATACAGCAAAGGTAAACTTGTTGGTAAAGCATTTGGAGTAAAGATGATCCTTGAGAAATCAACACACAAACGTAGATAATGGAATGCTGGCGAATTTTCGCTTATCTTAAATGCCAATGAAAGAAGCAAATTCGCATTGCGTATCCACGGTTCAAGGCCACCATTCTTTTGGACAACTTCTTGCGAAGGAAGCATTTCCTCGCAGTATGCCGTGACCAAGATGTCTCCAAATCTTTCTGAATCTTCATCATGCTCCATCTCCTCTTCAACGGCTTCTCTATGTTCTATTTCCTCTTCAGCGGCTTCTTCTTGGTTTTCTTGCGGGTTTGGTGCTGGTTCTTCAAATTCAAGCTCAATATGAGCAAGCTCTGTTTCACTTTGCTCGAATGCACTGAGATCAGGATTTGACGCAGTGTCATGTGTCCTTTCGATTTCATTTGTTGTTTCTTCTTCTGTCTCCGGAAATTCGTTGTTAGAACCTTCATCAGTTTCATGACTTTTCACGAACATGACATCTTCTGAGGTGTGGAACATCTCATCCGTTACATTTAACAGAACTTCGAACCCTACAAACGGCTGACAACAATCAACCATTCTCAGCAAATCAAGAATGTGTTCCCGATGGAGCCATACAAAGGTGTGCAGGAGTGTACAAAATTCTGGGATGTCTTTCGCCGGTAAATTCTGTATGACTTCCGAAATAAGCGTTGCTTGTGCTGTGGAAATCCGCTGAGAACGACTTAACTTTGGGCTAAAGTCGGCAGTTATCGAATCAAAAATATCTTTCATGTATAAATCGTAACAATTCGAAATAAAACAATAAAGCTCGGGGACCAGGTTTATGATCATCTTGCTAAATCGTTCTAGTTGCTGTTGTTGAACAGTCTGCTTTAGTTGACCATTTCCATTCAAATGATCTTCATTTTCTACGAGTGTTGCATAGTCTTCCAAGAACAGTCCCTTGACTGCGTCAATTTTTCTGATAATTACTTGGCTGAATGGCAGGCAAAGATCAAGGATGGTATTGTCAAGACCGTATGATTCAGCTCCAAGCGGCTCTGGAATATCTGATATTTTGAAAATGGCATTATTCATGATAAAATTACACCACAGATCCTCTAACTTTGGTATCAGTGTTTCGTTAGAGTTGCTGACCAGATGAGGTGGCCAAGCATTCTCTTTCTCTAGGAAGTAAACAATTTTGGCCAGTGGATTTCGGACTAACCTGGAGATAAACTGTTCCATTGCACAGTAAAGGGTGGACGAATTAACTAATGACTGACGATCACAAGCAACCTTAACTTGCCAATTTTCTTTGAAATAAGTTTCCTGATCTTGCTCAAGAGCATTCACGTCAATCGACTGCAAGACGAGTCTCTCAATGACTTGCGAAACTTTCTCTGAATTAAAAAGATTCTTAGCAATGTGCAAAACAGATTCCACAGGTCGTTGGCTACGTGTATATTTGATACACGTGAAGCACCATAAAAGATCATTTTGTGCGATTATCCGAAGAGGCCAGATGGAAGATGTGAGAAGCTTCTGAATACTTTCTCCAAGTATTTCATTCAGTGGAACTGGAGGAGTTTCAAGGACGTCAAGGAATACTTGTCTCCAACCACACAGGAAACTGAACTGCCACGGAACACTATCTTCTTCCACACGTTGTACGTGTATTACGATACAAACATGCTTGTATCCTTCTGGATGTATCTTGGATAAACATTGCTTGTAGGAATTTCGCTTTTCTTCAATGATTGAACGGGCAAGTAGTAAATGTGTACCATCCAAGTCTGGTTTACACTGCAAAACTAACAACTCTTTTTCCGGTGTACTCCAAAATTCATTGATTCTTCCAACCAGTTGCTTCTCTGACTTATACGCACTCAGTCGTTCGACTTGACATCTAAAACCGTTGCCCAAGCACTGACGAATGTCTGTGTGAATGTTGGAAAATGTCATAACCACAATTTTAGATCCAATCTCATCGCTAGCAAAGAAAGACGATTTTTGATGGTTGTTAGAAACATATTTCATGAAGGCAGCAAAACCGTGGTGTAGTGGTTTCTTGAAATATTCATCACATAATTCCTCTACCTCTTGCGAATCTTCTTTCAAAAGTTTGCACTTCTGCGCTCGAAGCACACCATCAGGTGAAGCAATCCACGCCAAGTCACTTTTACATTTCTTTAATACTTCGTTTGGTGTGTCATGGCCATATGATAATGCCAAAGATGGGAGGGTGTCTACATGGAAACCAATAAACATATCTGTTTCTTTAAAATGTGATTCTAAACTTTCAACTGTGGACACTCCTTGAACCCAGTGCCGAAGTTTGGTTATAACGTTCTGTTGGTCTTTAGTCAACACATCAGAGAAGCGCAAGACTTGTTTCTCGAACCTGTTGAGGAATGGCGGATCAGAATAATCCACTTTATGTTGATCAATGAGAACGATACATCGAAATCCGTCGTTTACTTGACACATAGGGTTGCTGTATGGTCCTAGGGCAACACGACAGTTTTTCCTGTTGCCGACCACGGCGTAATTCTGGTTTAACATGTCATACAAGCTTCCGTAGATGCTTTCCAGATCTCGTAGTATCAGGATACACTCTCGCTCCATGCAAAGAATAATACGGCTCAGAATTCTGTAGTTATACTCTTCAGATAGATCTTCTTCGAAACGACTGCCATAAATCATGATGGTTTCCTTCCCCAGCTCCGCCAAACTTTGCTTCAAAATACCAATTGCAGAATCTCCGCTTGTTATGAGCATCAGGTGACGAGCATGAGGATCTTCAAGATTTTTTTGAATTAGTTGAGTGACTGGTATAATATCTTGAGCACTAGATATCATGAGCTTCTTTAATTTGTCGAGGAATGTCTTCTGAATGTTGGATACGTCACCAGGAAGGCCACCAAAATTACGCTGTAATGAAATGTTGACTTCTTCAAAGTTGCTGCAACCTGTCAAGCTTTTAATCAGGGAGTAGTAATCACGAAGACCATGGAAATTGGCATGCGTTTGTTGGGCTTGATATTCGAAATAGGCTTCAGCTAAACAATGTAGCTCTTTCTTTCCCAAGTACTGGCTGTTATCGTCACCATCAGCATAATGTAGTGAAAGTCCAGTTTCGTATAAATCATCTTTAGTTGGTTCGGGTCTAGACAGATGAATTGCTCTGTTCATCTTGGCGGCATCTAACGACCAATTTGAAATGCCCACAACTGAAACATCAGGCATTTTGCCTTCTCCGGGTTCTAGTAAGCTGTGTAGAACTTTGAGAGGGTTGTATTTGGAATTCTCAGCCAATCCAACTTCATCTAGGAGAACAACAGGCAAGACGTTTTTGTTGTGGGATTTGTATTTCCGTGCTTTTTCAAACACTTTGATTATTCCCTCCGAGGTAGATGACTCTGAACCTTGATACGAGACGACATAAAGTTGTGGAAAATTTCTAAACATAGGATCTTGCGAATCGCGTCCCCGTAGATTGCTTCGGATTAACTGAATAGATAAAGATTTACTGCAACCAGGCTTTCCCACTACAAAAATGGGGATGCGGTTTAAGATGCAAACCAGCATAACAAAGACATTCTCACGCAAAGCAGCATTTCTTGCTGTGCCAGGTGGCAGTTCCATTCGATCCAAATAATCTTCTTCTTCCATACGTACAATAGCCGAAAAGCTATCCAAATTTTCATCAAACGTCATTATGGTTCCGTTAGTTTTGAACAAGTCTATCATCCGTTTTCGGTAATTCTTTCTCAGCTCTGCAGTCGGTAATCTGGATAAATAACAATGTGCAAGGGCAAGGACTATACTCTTAATCATCGGCTTCGTGTTGTACCGTTCTGACATAGAATGATACTTTTTCAGGTGCTTGGGATATTCATCTTTGTTACTCTTAAGCTCCTGGCGTTTCTTTGTCATGTCCTGAAACCAGCTGATCAGGCTAATGCAACGGTGTACATCACGTAGACTGACGCAAAAAGGATTTTTTTCAGCATCCCGAATAAATTTTTGGGATGTAGCTAGCAAATCAACCAGCAAACCTTCATAATTTTTTGGCAAATCCCTCACCATCCTCTGAATATAGTCTCGTTCATCTTTTGGAGATAGGGAACCATAATCCCAAACATAGTCAATCATAGCTTCAGGTAACGAGTGGACACGATACACAAGTCCGGAATACTCATCAGTGATATTTTTGCCTTCGAGGCCAGCTGTTTTTATATGTTCTTTAGGACGCAATTTGTACGGGTTGCAGGCTGCAAGGAAGACAAGATTTTTGGACAATTGTCGGCCCAACAAGGAATGATGACACATGATATCACTGATCAAACCTAGATGATCACATGTGTTTATTTCATCCAGGAAAATCCATATTTGCTCTTTGATATCTCTGGCATGACTTTCGTTCTTGTTGATAAATGTGACGATTTCGTCTTGCGATATTCCCGCGTGAAATTCTAATTTGTAGAACTGTACTCCGCACGTGTTAGCCAAATAACGAACGAGGCTGGTTTTTCCACATCCTGTCTCACCCATGATGATAACTGGGATGTTTACACGGACCCGTAATATAATCAATATCATCTTTAGGATGTTATCTGGAGTCAACGCGTAACTTGAGAATAAATTTTTCTTTTCAACACGTTTCATGCATGCTATCTTCTCCAACTTCTCCTGTAGTTGTTCTTGATTAAAAGCCTTGAAATCTTCAAGTTCCTTATTTCCTTTCACCATCTGACTCTTTAATAATTTTTCAACACTTAAAGGAACGAGGGCTTTATTCCGATACACAGCAGTGATTGCTTGCGAGTTGAGACCATGAAATACGACCAACAAATGGTTGCTGTCTTCCCACTGTATCATCCCTTTTACTCGTTCAACCATATCTTTCGCATAATTGGCAGTCGACACCATTTCTTTGTCCAAAGCTCTTGCAGACTCCCTTTGAGAACGATTCCTTATATCACTTGAGCGACAAGTTGTTATGGCACGAGATGCGAACTCTTTCGACACATTCAAAAGGGCTTCAAAAAGATTAGTGCGAACCACCCGGGTTTCTTTGTCCACCATAGATTTAATTTTTTCAATTTTGAAGAAGGTACTCTTGGTAAATTTTAAAAGTTGCTCTGCAAGAACTCCAAGGAATATGTGGATCGTTGTAAAGCTGATATCAGAATCTGAGGAAAAGCAAGTGGCTAGGAGCTCTTGGCAGCGATGCGTCGGTAGTGGCTTGGATTTTTCTGGTCCCAGAAAATGAACTTCTTTCGATTCAATGCAAGCTCGATCCTTCATATCTAAATACTGACAAACAACTTGCATATCACTGGTAATTTCAGTGCTGACCAGAAGATTCTTGTAATTCTGCCATTGTAAGTGAATACGAGTGAAGTACTTTGACACTACCAATGACTCTCGGAGCGAATCTTTCAGCGTGTTCGCTATTTCAATGTAGACGTGTGTTATTGGTAGGTGAAAGAATTTATTTCCAGCTGAAACCGTTCCTGTGACAATAAGTTGGAATAAGAATGTATCCAGCGCTAGTGGATCGCTTACTTCCCCAATATCCAGATGCAAACAATGATACTTCTTAAGCTTAAGCTCTTTTAAACGCTGTATGAGTTTGCGTGGCTCGAATGGGCCGCTGATTGAAAATGTAGCAAGATTCATACTTTTTTCCACTGCTTCACGTTTGATTTGTTCTGTTTTACCAAGGCCAGGAAGAGTGGATGTGATCATTTTGACATCAGGCCACCCAGATTTGAGACGATGAGTGAGAACAAGATCACTCATGCCAGCAATGTGGTGTGAATACTGCGCAAACTGTTCAACAATGTGATGATGGTCCCCACCACGGCAAATTAAGGCAAGTTGATAATCAGCATTTTCTTCAAACTCGGAACTTTGGAGACATCTCTGTTTCTCTTTGATTGCGTCAACCAGTCTGAACTGCAATTCATTCGGCAATACCTCAATATTTGCAATACAAAACAAGCTCTTGCGATGAAGGTATTTTGAATGTGCAAAACATCTTTGGAGTAAAAGATACATTTCCTCCCACGTTGTTTGGGAACTGCAAAATACAATTTGATGCGGTTCTGGAAATGCTGTAGACGTGTTCTCGTACAGTGTGAGAATGACGTTGGCCGTTAACGGACTTTCTGGTTCCAGACTAGCAACGAAAATCTCCCCCGGAGTAACTGTGGCTTCCAGTTTAGAATGTGATTGGCTATCACCATCATCTTGTATGAATCTGATGACAGATTGCGAATTGCGAAAAATCTTTTCTAAGGCTTGACCAACAGTCGATAGCAATAATTCGGGGATGTTGCTTGAATTTGATATCTTCAACTTCTTCTGTGACGCTTGGTATTGCTGTAATTGTTGTTTAGTGATGGTTCTGTCAACAAAATGGATGAAAGAAAGCACTTCGTCACAACTAATATTGGATTTGTTAATTAAAAAATCATTCAGCGTGCACAGTTGATCGGAGCTGTAATAGTTAAGGTAGTAGAAATTTTCACGTGCTGTTTTCAAGATCTTTTCCCAGTTTTTTAAATCATGTTGCAGACCGTCTCTGTTAGCTTGAAGATCATTGGTGGTTTTCATCCGCTTCCAAAACTGTCGATATTTTACATACCCAGATGAACGCAATTCCGACAGAAGAGTAGAAATTTCTGTAACGAGATTAACTTGATTTATAAAGCCATCAAAATCAATGTCTTCACCGTTTTCTTGAAAATGGCTGGACGGAACCTTTATAGCATTTTTATGAGAGGAAACAATAAGATGCGCACGACTTCGTAAATCATGTAGATCTGACAAAGAGTAATTACATGTTTTGTCTTCGCCACTTCCCTGGAGCACGTAACTCATCTTAGTTTCACATTTTCCATTTTTTTGCGACACCCAATATTCTCCTTTGTTGAGGCAATTACCAATGATTTCTTTAGTTATCTCGCCACGGTTTGCAATGCTCATGTACAATCCGCGAAGGCTGTTAACATTTGTACTGCAGTGCTGAATCTTCAATGCAACATCTCTATGACCAAGACAAGATGCTTGTAACATCTTTAGAAAGTCCAGGGGATTGCATTTCTTCTGACTTTTCTTTTTAATCAAAGGTGCCAAAAAACCATGAACGTCAATAAGATCGGAAACTGACGACTCAAATACAAACTGATCTGAATGTTCTTCAACTGCATCAATAAGAAAACGAATATCTTCGTCAAAAATTTCCTCGATGAAATCGAGCAATGCACTAGATCTTGACAGCTCCTTAATCACGCAATCTAGGTCTTCTCCAGAAAAAGATGACACTATTTGCATTACGTCTTCCATTGATTGATGCAATGATGCGAGAGTAAGTTTATCACTGTTCTCTAAAATTGTTTGAAACTTTGAGAACTCTTTCATCACTTCATTTGAAGGATCCGCTAATCCAAAGATTTGAAGTATGCCAATGACGTGCCGCACTTGTCCCAAGACATAAGGATACTTTACATAATCTTCGATGTAAACTTTAACCATAGGAGAAAACGTTTTGCGAAAATATATTTCTAGAAATTCGAGCTCCCCATCAAGTTGGTTTTGGCGCTTCAACGTACCAAGCACGGTCTTCATGGTCTCCACACTAAGTGATCCTGGGTTATTCAACACAGGATTCCATTGGGCTTTAAATTCTTCAATCGCTTTGGTTGTAAGGAACATCATCAACGAAAAAAAATCGATTACTGCTGTTGTTGCCTGATTTCCATCTTCATCGGCACTTGAATTGCTTAATTTCTTCAAGCCATTTTTAGCCACGGTCATAAAGGACAGTGAATTCACCAATGGTTGAAGTGCTTCAGCTTGGCCTACAAAAGGAAATAATGTTCCCCAAAACTTATCAGCCTGTAATTCATTTATTTTCCTTGTACGCAAGGTTTCCTTCAGATAGTTGAATGTCTCTATGATAGTCTCGACTCCATTAACAGGGTAAACATCGTTTGATATTTTCTTTCCATAGTTAATCGCAGACTCAAGCAATTGAAATTTTTCGGAACAATCTTCTACAACACCCGTCAATGAAGATATTTCATCCAAAATTTGCTTTCTAAGGTCTCCGAGATCATGTTCTGGCATAGACTTATGTAGCACAATAGCACATAACATTGAAACATTTTCCCTCTCTTTGTCGACTACCTCTAATAAACTTAAAGTTATATCGCCTTCTTTAATGCACTTTTCTAGCTGTTGACAAAAATGTTTACCAGCTTGATATTTTTTTGATTTCTCAACCATTCCTAAAAATAAGAGAAAACGAAAAAAATAAGCGGTAATCCCCGGCGTAATCCCGGGGCGAGGGTACTATAATATTTTCACTCAGACTCTTTAGTGAAAACCCATTTAATAGTTGTCCGGCTTGATACAAAAGTAAAGCGCGTTTTCTCTTCGCATCAGTGATTCCACTTGCAAGGATAAACATTTCGAAATCTTGCATCCAACGTGTGCCCAGACTTTCGCCCACTTCGGAATCAGGGTTGAATTCAGGTACCGGCTGAAATGAAACCGATGGTTGATTTGCAATTTGCGCGGCTGGTTGCTCTTGCGCCATTCTCGTCGCCAATATAATATTAGGGAGCTTAAGCATGTAGGACGGCAACACGACTACGACGGCAACCAATACAATGAGTCAATGAAAATAAATAAGTAAAAGTCCTGGGGGAGTTTCAGACGTGGTCATCGCTCTGTTGACAACGGCAAATCACAGATTTTCACGTCTTTTATACAACGCCTGCATTTCAAGCCGTAACAAGTGCAACCTAACATTCGGTTCAGTAGAACTCTTCCCAAACATAAAGCCAATGTTTTCAACTACTTATACTGTTTAAGTTCATACGAATTATACAACGTTTCTTTACTATCACACCATCATCGTCGTGTTGCTGTCCTTCATGCTTGAGCTCCCTAATCTCACTCAGACTCTTTAGTGAAAATCCATTTAATAATACTAATAACAAACTATAAACAATCCCAGTATAAATGTAAACTTCTAGTCATAAGCAATCTCCTTCCGTGTCTTCGATCCTATCCGTTCTCGTATATCAACAACAACTATTATCCCACTACATCACATGACATTGTGATGACGTCACTACTACATCACCGGTACCACAGAATAGATAATACTAATTCCGCTCGGCTATTTACACCCGGGAAAAGGAAAGCATTAGCGAAGTCTAAAGTTGGCGCGTCACTATGTTTCATGCCCGGACTTCCGACTGATCTCAAAAGTATGGCGAATTTTAGGAGAGGGTCAGTTGAGTGAGTGCAATGTAAAAAAAGAAACCCAAGTGATCGTTTAAGTGGTTAACAGTTAATTTGTTTTTGCTTCATACAAAAGATCAGGGCAATAGATTGCTGGAAATCGTAAAACCTATGGGTAAGTTTGCTTTTGAGATCGATGTATTGTCCTCTTTGAAAAACTGATGTTGCTTATAATAAAAAAAGTATTCAGTGCAATATTTTCCTAAATTACCTTTTTATTATTTTAGATTACTAAAAATCATTAAAAAATATAAGGGAAAGCCGAAAGTAAAGTTATTTTCATGAGAAAATTGCATAATCGTTGTCACTCGAAACTCAAAGTTTATCATAGGCAACCCAATAGCTAGGCGTGTTAAATATTTTACTACTAAATATTCAAATTTTTAATAAAACTGTTTAATATGGCGAAAATGTTTAGATAACAATGCATTTCTGCAGTCCTGGTTGCGTGCTATGGGCAACGTCACTAGCTCACCCAGAGCTCTGAACGCTATATACAGAGAGGAAACTCAGTCACAGTGGATGACCTAAATTTTTATGTCACACGCATACGTTATTTCCACGCACCACGCAAAATTTCCCAGCCAGCGCCGTCGCTGAAATGTCGTAGCAAAAGCATAGGGAAAACGCCATTCGAAAGGTTAAAATCGCTATCCTGTTCTTTACCACCATAAATAAAGAAAGTCTTGTATATAACAAAAGTTATGTTTTTGAACTTCTACCTATCCTATCCAGGCTCGTGGTTGGTTGATTATAACACTGAAAGACAATAAAACTATAGAAATCGTCTTTCTAAAGAACGAGTCCCGCCGAACAATGATCAATTTTGTTTTTGATTTGTTTCTGAAAGCCAATCACAAAATATATGATCATTTTGGGTAGGTCTTTACCCGAGATTCGACACCTCACTATGAATAATTAATTTAGTGACTGTTTACTCATCTCGAATATTAACTAAATGAGGTTCTAATTAGCATATTAAATAAGTATGCAGCTGTGTGGAATATCCAAAATCCGGCTACTAAGTGCTGGCGTAAAATTGAGGTGCTGAATATCGAGCAGTAGAGGTGTGCATAGGGTCGGATTGGACGTTTATAATCCGATAATTGGCTAATGTTTAAAATCCGATCCGATCCGAAATTGTCTAATCCGATCCGATTTTTGATAAAGAATTCCGATCCGAAGAATCCTTTAATAATAAAATGAATTTCTCATTCAAGTGGAAATATTTAACCAAATAAATATAAAAGCAAGAAATACATGTCAAGAAGCTGACAAAGTGACGTCCTTCTACTAATCTTTTGTTTTTGTCGTGGATAATTAATTCGGGTGTAGATAAAAAGCGGACGGATAAAAGGCGGGCGGCGGACCGCGGAGCATTTTATAAACACATAATAATAATAATAATAAATAATAACTGCCCTAACACTGCCATTGAATTAAAATATTATTAGGGGGGGGGGGGCTATTGTATGACATTCACTTGCTGTCATTTTCATACTTTAAATTGTACTGACTTGTTCTTTTATCAGTGAAATTAAACCCCGTTTTACTTACTAAAAGGCTAACACGTAGCCAAGGTCCATTCATGTGAGTGTTTACACATTACTATTCCACTGTATATAAATGTAGAACGAAATTATAATAACCTTCCCTAAGCCTTCAAATACATATGATATATAAAGTCCAATAAAAAATCCAATATTTACGCTGCACACATATATACATTTTTCAAACAGCTTGTTACACTGATTAGTGTGTGACATTTACATAGTAGATATTATAATATATTATATTTACAGGAAAATATCAATAACTCAATACAGTTCAAGAAATGACAAATATATACAATTGTAAATATATACAATTGTGAACATTTGCATGTCCAAACTTTATAAAAAATTCTCTCAAATCACGATCCATAGCCTATACTCAATAGCTACTACCTATATGTGCCTACGATCAAATAAAACAATCGTTCAAGAGCCTTGAATGACAGAAAAATATCGAGCAGCATTATTGGGCTCAATGAAAATCCACCCCATCAAATGATCCGCCCCTAATACATAATATTTCTAAAATAATATAGAATAGTCGTCGCATGCAAATGGGCCATTTCTACATGTGAACCTCTTAGGTTTATAATTAAAACGAGGATTATTTTCATTATAAAACAACAAGTCAGCACTATTTAAAGTACGAAAATGTCAGCAAGTGAATGTCATTTAATTCTGCCTAACAGAAGCTCCAAAACTGAGGCGCTTTTTTACAATATTTCCAAAAGTTTTCCGTGAACGACGGCGTATAGCCTATCATAAATACG